GGTCTCACAATACCAAATTTACCAGTTGGTAAAAGCAAACTGCAAGGTGCTCAGTGGGTTATTATAAGGTTTATCCATGCTTCAGTAGAAATGGGATATGGCGAATATGAAATTCATAACTGAATGACTAAGGATGACATGAAAGAAGAACATGATATGGGTTACCATAGACTGGCTAAAAAATGGCATATTTCTTAGTCGTTAAGGAAAACAAACGAAGCCCGTGCCCTCTCACAGAATTTTTTGGACACAATATTGAAGCTACATGGTGTACCAGTAAGCATTGTGTCAGATCGGGACCCAAAGTTCACCTCAAAATTTTAGCAGGCGTTCAAGAAAGCTTTGGGAAAAAGGTACCTCTCGGCAATGCCTATCACTCTCAAACCGATGGATAGTGAGAACATACGATTCAAATGTTAGAAGACAAGTTTTGCGCATGTGTGTTGGATTGGGAAGGTATGTTAAGAGAGTACCTTCCACTAGTGTAATTTACTTACAACAATAACTATCACTACGCCATCGAAATGTCGATATATGCAGCCTTGTATAGATAGCCATGTTGGATCCCCCCTCGGTTTGGATCAAAGTGGGGGAAAGACGCGACCTCAAGCCAGAAATGATCAAGAAAATAGAAAACAAGTAAAGTTTCTTAAAGACAGACTCAAGGAGGCTCACAATCGTCACAAGAGTTATGCAGATCAAACACTGGAAGGACCTGGAGTTCTCTGTGGAGGACGTTATGTACCTAAAAATGAGGACCTCCACGAGGAATGACCAAAAAGTAAAAAAGAGAAGCTAAAGTTGAGGTACATGAGATAGTTTTTGATCATCGAAAGGGTTGATGCAGTAACATACTGGTTGGAGCTGCCGCATGAATCGTCAGATTTTGATAATATTTTTTCACGTGTCCATGCTACGCAAAGTGGTGTGGGGATTGAATTATTTTTTTCCGAACCAACAACAGATGCTGGTTAGTACACCCACCAAGATTGTCGACCCTAGAGAAACGGAGACCAACGAGAAGAAGGTACAAATGGTGGTTGTAATGTGGGAAAGAGATGGAATCGCAAAAGAAGTATGGGAACCCAAGGCCAAACTAAGGAGCACCCACCCTGGATGTTTGCAAATGATGAGCAAACACGAGTAACCAGACCAAATTTGGGGGTGAATTATTAGTTAGTGGGGGAGAATTGCAACATTGTGGATCAGGTCTATTGGTAAAAGACACAACAAGGAGAAACCCTAAAGTTTCCTATAAAAAGAGGTGCATCCTTTCCTTTGAGACACAAAGCAAAAACAAATCAAAGCCCTGGCCCATTCAAGACTCCCAGCTGCCACCGCCAGAGTCACGCCAAATCACCGCTGGTTGCCGTTCGTCCGCCTTGAAGCCTTAGCCGCAGATCCCGAAACCCTAGTCCTCTCCTGCTCAAGTCTTCTATGTGTAAACATACTAGATCTCAGCCATATTAAGGCTTATATCTCTTTGTTCCATCCTTAGATTTTTTTTCTGAGAATGACATATAAACTTCCTTCTCATCTCTTTTGTATGAGGAAACCCAGATTTTTGTTGTGAAAGCCTCTTCGTCCTTCTCGAGACCCAAATCTTTATTTCCAAGTTAAGCTAAGGTGAAGACTCGAGTGAACTCGTCTAACACTCACTAAGACTGCTGGTGTTTGTCTAGGGATAGTATTGTCTAGGCTGAATGTGTGAATTTTTTCTTATGTGATAAACTGTTAGATCTTGTTGTTGATTGTGTTGATGGTGATGATGTGATGAAAGGACCTCGTTATGGTTGATGATGTGATGAAAGGACCGGATGTGTGATGTTATGGCGCCGAGAATGGGTTTGGTTAGGAATTGTAGTGTTAAAGCACTGGTTGGTTAGGATTGAGTCACACCGGGTCTTGGTGGGAAGTGACCATAAGACACCACAGAGTGGACTAGTTCCGGGAATCGAACGAAGTGCCATAGGGTGAGTGGTCTCATAGGAGCTGTGAGATCATAACCTAGGTTTGAGACTTCCACACCGGAATGCTGCAATGCATTCAAAGCCGCTACCACCGACGTAGATAATGACCATCTTACAAAAGATGTTACACATGATTAAATAAGAAGGATTATGTTTTCTATGTTAGATGATAAGTTATTAGGTCCTCACAATTCTTACTCTTATCGATATATATTATAGATTTCCATTTTCGAGAGAAAAATACATATATAAGATATGCAATCTCGTTAAAATTAACTATGGCGGCTGGATCGAAGGGGCCCATATTATCCAGAAAACCAGACTGGAGTCAACCAGTTAATTACCACAACAATCTCTACGTTCATATATTATTGTTTCACTAGATATGGACCCGTGCGTTGCACGGATTTTGTTTGATGTGTTAATTTTATATAAAACATAAAAATAATAAATCATTTGTTATAGTTTTAGTATTCCTTTTGCATATATATATATATATATATATATATAAGATTTATCTGAGAATTAGGAACTTGTTTTCCACATAAATTCCGATTAATATTTGTACTTAATATTAGAAAAAATAATCATATTTAAAAATTTAAACCGAATTCAATCGGAAATAAAAATTAGTGTAAAATAAATTTTGAAAGTTAAATAAGGTTAATCAAGTCAATGAAAATATCATACACTTTCGTAAGCATTAATTAATTTTTGTATTAACTTATTATTTGTTATTCTTCTCGCTTAAATATTTAAACTATTTGCTTCACATTTTATACTAATAATAAAGTTGTTTATCCGATTTTAAATAATTTTATTAATTTATTATTACTAATAATGAATTCTCATAATTAAAAAATTTAATTGTAAATGAGAATATAATTAATAATTAATATTACTCTATTATGATTTTTTATACAAATATTATCAAGTTATATGTTCATCATCAAGTTATATAATATATGTAATTTTTATACATATATATTTCTCATCTCTATATTTAAAAAAAAGTAACACACATCTCTATATTTTTCTCTAAGAATATAGGAACTCTATTACATAATCATATATTGAAACAAATTCACCTTTGTAATAGAATTTCTCTGTTTTAGAACAAAATTAATAGATGAATATATACGTGAATTGGAAATAATCTTAGTTGTTTAGGTAATAGAAAACATTATATATCAGCATTTTATAATTTTGAGGTAATGAAACTATTAATACCTTATGCAATTTTATCCACTTTTGATTCTTGTAGCCACAAAAATATATGTGCTTGAAAAAAAATATGTTTTTGAATATCGATTGTATGAATAACTGTTTACGAAAGTAGCTTGTATTGGTACATGTTGTAATAGACACGAAGAAGAAATAATCATTAAGAAGACTTTTTAATTTTATTTTAAATATATGATATTCAATATGAGGTATATAATTTGGAGTCTTGTTTCTCGTTTTTAATGGTCTCATTAGAGGAAAATAATTTTCTGTATAAAACTAATTAATTACATAACTATACATATAACCTTTTTGAATAAAAAAAAAAGAAAAGGAACTAAATATTTATCTTTACATCAGTTAAGAGAAATTCATTCCTATTTGTTCTTTTTTCAAATTACTTACTTCATGAGTTATTTAGCATTTACAATTATCTCTTGTCTATAATTTCAGATAATTATCAAATAATTATTTTTGGTTAGTATTAAATAATCTTAAAATTACTATTTTTAAAATCCGGATCACTACTATTTTTACAATTTAATTTTGTTAATTAAGTAAATATTAATTAGCATCATGTGTAATAGTAACGAAATTCGTATCACTACTATTTTTACAATTTTATTTTGTTAATTAAATAAATATGAATTAGTATCGTGATCATCATCAAGTTATTTTAAAAAAATAATATTAAATATTTTTTTACATTTCTGTTTTGGCTACAGCCTAAAACATATGATAATATTTCTTTTGTTTAGGATTTTTAGGAAAAGGAAAACTATCATATATTATTTTTAATTTTTCTTATAGGATTTTAGAAAAGGAAAATTAATATTACATAATCTTTTGCAGTTATACTTTTTTCTAGGATTTATAAAAATAGAATTACTATCAAATAATTATTTTCATTTAATATTAACTATTTTAAAAAGTTGCTATTTACAAAAAAAAAAAATTTAATGCAAAGTTTCTATTTTTAAAAGTTGCTATTTTTTGTAAGATATTATGTATTAGTAGTTTTCTTTTTTTTGAAATCCTAAAAGAAACTGTTAAAAAAATATTTTTTAATAATAATTTTCTTTTTCTGAATCTATTTTAAATCTTAATCAAAAAGTTATTATATTTTTGACACATGTCACAATCTTAAATTTTTAGTGACACATGTCAAAATCATGTTAATTAGTAACTTTGAAGAATCAAGCTTTATATAATAAGATTTTTGATTTTTCTTATAGGATTTTAGAAAAGGAAAATTAATATTACATAATCTTTTGCAGTTATACTTTTTCTAGGATTTATAAAAATAGAATTACTATCAAATAATTATTTTCATTTAATATTAACTATTTTAAAAAGTTGCTATTTACAAAATTTGTTTTTTTTAATGCAAAATTTCTACTTTTATTAGTTGCTATTTTTTTGTAAGATATTATGTAATAGTAGTTTTCTTTTTTTGAAATCCTAAAAAAAACAGTTAAAAATATTTTTTAATAATAATTTTCCTTTTCTTAATCTATTTTAAACCTTAATCAAAAGTTATTATATTTTTGACATATGTCACAATTTTAAATTTTTAATGACATATGTCAAAATCATATTAATTAGCAACTTTGAAGAACCAAACTTTATATAATAATATTGTTCGTGTCCTTAGGTAACTCAAACAATTATTTTAATTATTAGTGCGGCAAATTAATCTGCGTGATATATACGTACGAGTTTCTTTCAGTCAGTTTTGCATAAAATGGGTTTCAATTCAAATCAAAAGCCTTAAGAGATGATTACGAATACAAATAATAAATATACCGTTGATAAAAAAAAGTTTAGTAATACAGATTCATCTGATTACAGTGTCCAATACATGTTCCTAACTTCCTATGATAAGCCGAATCAAGTCATAACTCATAACCCCTCTATATATACTTAACCAGAGACAAAATCCCTAAATTAAAGAGGGCAAAATTTCAAAACTTCCAAGTATTGCCATATAAATAATAATATAGTAATAATTTTTTTTTCTTATTTCCGTACTTTAAACCAAATCAGAGCTTACTTGCAGTTTCCAGTGAGAGCTTTAGAGATTGAAAAGATTCTTGGGAGCTTGATCTGGGGGAGTGACGGTGAAGGGAAAAGGCAAGACGAGAGGACGCTTAGCTGCAAATGGCCTGACTGGACAAGTTGCCGAAGAACGAGATGGTCGGTGGTGACTTGGCAAAGAAGCAACCTCATCAGTAGCAGCAGCAGCAAGAGCAGGCAGGTTAGGCCATGAGAAACTCGCCACAGGCCTGCAGATTCTAAAACCAGTGTTGTTTATAAGTGAAAGTGGTGATCGATCATCTCTCCTGCCTTTTCGAGGGGACTCCGTTTCCTTGTTCACTTCCTTCACTTCTCCCTCTAGTGTCTTCATCACTGGTGAATCCTCTAGTAGCAAAGGCCTCTCTGCTGAGTCTGGCTTTCTAGGACAGTTCTCGTCCACTGTTCTCTGAAGCCATCCCATATCTTCCTACAATATTTGCATCCGTGAAGCACACACAAATGTTTAATCATCATTCATTACCAGTAAAATTTGTAATGGACTCTTGCATCTGCTGTATACTAGGGGTATATCTCTTCTGACTACTTATGACATCATAACAAAATTAGAAAACTTTCTATTGTAATGGTTCATCTAAAACTAGCAAGAGGGGGATATACCTCCATTTTATGCAATGTTTCTGCAATTATCACTAGCTGGTCCTCGATTTTGAATTTCTTCTTCAGCAGATCGGCATAGATCTCCTGACATGACGCAGCAGAGATGTAAGGATCCTATTAAAGACTATCAGATGATAGAGATCAATTATTTGTTTTGGACTCTTACCTTTGCCAGAGGCATCATATTATCCTGGTCCACGTTCTGACTTGTAACACAGGAAATAGGTGTAGTCATGATACCAAGCTCCTCGCCCTTCTTTGAAGCGACTTTCTCCAATTCTCTTCTCAAAATCAAGTCAGGGTTACAATTTGCTAGAAGAGAAGAAAAGGGAGATGACCATATAACCAACTTAAGGAGTACAAAAGTTGTACCTTTTCAGGAAAGCAAGTTCTGCTCTGATGTCACGGATTTCTCCAGCGCAGATAGGATCTTGAGTAGGGCTGTCACCGAGCTTCCAACCAGGTGGAGGTGTCCAAAAAGGATCATCGACTCCTGCTTCTTTCCTTATGTGAACCAAATCAGAGCTCTCCAGCCAATACTCCATAGCCCCCTCTGCATTGTGTTTCCTCATGAACCTATCTTGGCCTCCAGGAGCGACCTTACCAGCCATGTGCTTAAGGAGATGATCCAAAAGACCCGTGTCTCCAATCAGCTTCCTCGCTTCTGACCTCAACTCTGATCTGAGCATGGGGTTGCCAAAAACTGCATGTTTATCCTTCATCACTTTCAGCATGTTCTTCTCAGCTCGTTTGTACCTATCAAATTAAACTCCAAACATTAGCATATCAGATGATTAACCAAAATTCATTCTGAGAAAATCACGTAGAAGATGATCTTTTTACCTCTCGATAGACCATCTGTCAATAAACTGATTAGGTGATCTCCTCTTATAAACAACGATCTGGGTTTCCTTCTTGTGATCAGAAGATACCTTTGCCCTCTGGCTCTGAGCGAGTCTCCCAGCGCTGGATTCAACCAGCTTTCTCTTACGGGTTCCGTCATACTTTTGCTCGTTAGCATAATCAGAGCCTCCTTCTGTTTCATTCCCACCATCTTCTTCTTCCTCCTCCTTGCAGTTGCAGATATCTTCTACCTTATGACTGCTCTGGTACCTTACGCGCATTCTCTTCCCCCACTTGATCATCCCTCCCGACTTCAGCTCAGACAAGCACTTTCCTTCCGCGCGAGAGAGCCTAGTCGTGCTATTATTGTACGCCGGCCGAGGAATCCAGAAGCTCCACGAGTTTCTACCCATGGAAACTTGGTGAGGTGCGATTCTCCTGTAAAGCAGCTCTCCGGCTAGCTCCGACGACACCACGTGGTTCTCGTCCAAAACGGGAAGAAGAGTTGAACCACTGCTTTTAGTCCTGTTGCTACCGAAATGCGATCTGATAGAGGACATGCTCGGGTAACGGAGAGTCACGTCGGTTCTCGTGATTTGGCTCACCTGCAAATCCAAAAACCCATCAACGAAACCAAACTCTGGAGAATAAGAAGAGATTAATAAAGTAAACAGATGATCGGAGTACCATGACGATTCGGGTCGACTTAAGTTGCTCAGTCGATCTCTGAGGAAGAACTGAGTGATCGATTTCGTAGTAAGATCCGACTCTTAGGTGAGCGACTGCCGCAACTGTAACCAAGCAAATAAATAAATAAATAAACAAACCACAGACACAAGGAAGATGCAAATAATCCGCAGTTTTTAGTTACCATTGACAGTCTGCGGCGGCGAAGAATGTTTTCCGGCGGAAGTAGATCCTCTGAACGGATACCTCTTCACGAACATCGTTTCCTGCACAAATATGGAAAATCCGTTGCTGCTAGTGCTACCTTATAGAGAGAGTTTATTTTCGCAATAAAAGAAAAGCTCAACTCTCTCTCTCTCTCTCTCTCTGATTTTCACCAACAAAATAAAATACACGTGCTCTCTGGTACGCGCGTGGGAGACACATAAGCAACAGTATCAACATCACCAGAGAGCGATGATGAGAGAGAAAGCGAAGAGAAAAATTACAATCGTGGTCTTGTTTGCTCCCGATGATCCTCCTCTTAATTTATTTCCTTCCACCTTCGATTTCTCTGGGAAAAAAAAACAATTTGCAGGGAAAATTAGTAAGTTTGTTCCGGTGAACATGAACATGACGCAGAAACTCATAAACAAAGAATCTAAAGTGAGAATCGGTAAATAAAGACGTTAACCCCGAAACATCTGAACAATTTTCTTTTCTCACCAGAAAGAAAATCTTTTTGGGGAAGGTGATGACGAAGAAAGAAGAAGGACGAAGCGGAAACCAAAATAAAATAAAGTTTCGAAATGTCGCATTTATTAAAAATCTGATGGGGGCTCTTTATATATCCTCGGAAGAGAGAGAGTGATATGCGTGTGCAAGTCACGTGAGAAGATTTCCTGCTCTGCAAGTTGCACATAGTTGACAGATTTGCCCTCAAACTGTCTATAACTACGCACCGGTGATCGCTCGCGAGCTTTGTTTGTCTGCGCGCTCGTCTACAAGTAAAAAAGAAAAATTACACGCAGCGATGCGATGGATTAATGCCACCTGTTATATTTTGAAGCTTCTGAGATTTTTACGGTGATATAACATGGGGCAAATGGTATCAGCCGTAGCGAATAAAAAAGCTTTGTGCACTTTATTTATACACGCGCGAGTACGCTTGTCATTTCCGTTATAGTCTACTAAGAAGGCCTACTACTCTAGAGTCTAGATGGGAGACCCGACTACTACACGTGAGAAAAATCAAATATCTTTGTTTTTTTATTCGCTGCATTCTGTGTGTATTCATAATAATCATGATCATTGATTTAAATCCGACAAAAAGTTTATTTATATAGAGTATCATTTATTTGGCAAAAACAAATTACAAACCTCAGCATATATAATGGTGAAATGAAATACGATATATGTTAGTTCATTCACACACTAAATGCGTTTATCAAGCGTTGATGTCTATGGTATATCTTTTCTTTGGAACTTATATTTTTGTTCCACTGAATCTAACTCCATCCGCATTAAAAAGGTTTATTTAACTAGCTAGAAATATAATCCAACAAGCCTTAGAAGACTTATATTGTTCGCAAAAACAAAACTTCCATTATTGTTTCTGTTGGTACATTTTTTTAAGAAGCAAATGTTCAGATATATACTAGCTACGACGGTCATAGTATGACCTCGTCTATGAGATGTACTAATCAGTTTTCCTTTGACATAAGATAGAGTGTATCGTCTATGAGATGTACTAATCAGTTTTCTTTCTTTTGACGTCAGATATAGTGTCCTGTGCACTAATCAATTTACTATATAAATTTTGACAATCACGTGATTTACCCCAAAAGGAAATTGAGGTAGAAATTTAAAAAATCAAACCTGGGCTTAGTTCTTTTTGGTCAATGAATTCCATTCATTAACCAAACATAACAATGAGTTTCAGAGACTAAATTAAACAACAAGGAGAACTTAGATCACAATAGACATACAAAACATGCCCGAGATGGAAATGATCTACTCATATGCCTTGAATGGAATCTTTCAAAAGACCACTAAATACCTTTTTGTGGTAAAAATGTAGACATATTATTACCAAGTTTTTTTTGTTTTTGACAAAAATTACAAAGGTTAACAAGAAACAGAGAAACCGAAAATAAAATTCTAAACACAAACTCAGTCTGTTTAAGGCAGGACACACAGACACATCAACCAAAACCGTAAACCCGAGGCTAGACCAAGACCACAACAACAGCTTGCCGCAAAAGAATGAGCCAAGTTCAACCACGAGAGTCGGGACCCCGGTAATTTTGGTCTCCCCGGTGATCCACTCTTAAATATAATGGCACATCCAAGAACAGCTCGCCGAGGCTTTATAGCACAAGCCCACAAGAACATACAGCAACAGCAGAGGCCTAGCACACCCGCAACACCCAAAACCGAGCATTTATTAGACCCGAACGACCTGTACACGATGCCGCTCTGAGCTAAAAAGGGCTGCAACCTACGTACTTCCCACACCGAGCCCAATCTGCACACAATTGTCATGCACACCACCACAAAAAACTCAAGCAAACCTAAGTGATGATGGGATGTGAGCGAAGACCAAACGTTAGAAAGTGGCGGTCAATGACCCAAGAACCACCACACGCCCGTCGTTGTCGAGAACCGACAAAAAGAAAATCGAGACGCAAGAGCCGTCACTTGCCTCAGCAAGAACATGAATTAAAAAAACAGGGCACAAAACATCCAAAGTAGAAAAACCGCAAAGAAGAGGGCCGAAGGTGAGGAAGCAATGCGAGAGGCCACTCAAGCGGCATAGAAGACTGCTCTTTAAACCTCTGACACGACCTACGCGGACCGGCCACAAAGCTCATACACCACTCCACCTGCGTGCTGAAGCTCACGAACTCGCCGCTGTGGTAGAGAAACCCACCAGCACACACCACGCCAAGGAAGAGAACCCTCAGTTTCGAGAACCGACAAGATTTCCAGAGCCGAGTGACTCGCTGGACAGAACAACAGATCGTCCATGCCCCGAAGAAGACACTGCGACCCTCTTCCTCACGGACAGAGGAAGCATGACGAGATTTGAGAGAGAAAATTGATCTCCATCCAAACCCAAAAAAGCCGACTGCAACCACAACCCACCGCTCGACCTTCTCGCCATAGTCCCAGAGAAAGCTGAGAGACGCTGGATCGAATCCCCTTTGCAGCGGAGTACTTCCCGGAATCAAACTCTAGCCCAGAATGACGCACATATCTAAGGGGAACGAGATAGATGGGGAAGCAGCAAAACAAGAGAAATAATCAAGACGGAGGGGTCTCCGGACACCGGTACGCGCCGTCCGTGCCGAGGGATACAAAGCTTAACTGTATCGTCTTCAAGAGATAAGGTGGAGAGAGAAACCGTGTATTTTTAATTTTTCACCACTAAATACTTTCTCGCACAACTTGAACAATAGAACTAGTGATATAATTCAGGAATTAACCAGTTACTATTTATTTGTGTGTGTCAGACTGTCAATTTATCTCACCTCCGAGCAGTGGTGGATCCATGAATTAATTTTATGTGTGTCCAACTATCAATTTAAGAGGAGAATAAAAATTAGGTGTCATCACTGGATGCGGCATCCAGACGCAGACGCGGGCCGATTTTCGTTTGGTGCGAAATAGGAGGTTAGGTTGGACGCAACATCCAGATATTTTTCCACAACTCATCCGGGTTTTTCGGAAATTCTGGATGAGATTTTACAACGCTTACAGCTACAGTAAACTCATCCAAAAGTATTAAAATTCGATAATACCCTTACTTTATCCTAAAAATTACTAAGTTTACCTTTGATTTCTAAACCTAATTTGTGTGGCCGTCAAACAAATCTGACTCCTCTCTTCAATCTCTCTTTAACCTCTCGAATATCCATGAAAACTCTCTGGAATTTTCTCATACTCTTGATCCCAAAACCCTAAATCTCTCTCACAGTCCTCTCTCTCTCTCTCTCTCTCTCTCTCTCTCTCTCTCTCTCTCTCTTGCAGTCCTCTCTCTCTCGCACTCCTCTCTCTCTCCCAGTCTCTCTCTTTCTCGCAGTCTCTCCTTCTCTGTCGCAGTCTCTCCCTCTCTCATGCTCTATTGGTAAGCTTTTCTGTTGTTTTCGTCACATTTAATCTGTAACTTAGATACCATTTTGGAGATCTCATTTGTTTTGTTTTTCTTAGCATCAAGTTTCAAGCTTTCAAGCTTTCTCCGACGCATCTCGAACTGTCTCTGTTCTGGTAAGCTTCCTCTTAATTTATGCTTCATTGTGTTGTATTGTGTTGGTATTATGTTGAGCTTTGTGAAAAGTAAAGTTGTATTGTGTTGAGCTTTGTGAAATGTTATGTGAGAGTTGCTTTGTGTGTTGGTTTGTTAGTTTAATTTTATCAGATTGGGATACTGAGATTTTAGGTCTTCTCTTTGTGTTAACTTGCTTCAATAAGCTTTGATAATGAAGTGGAGATCTCTTGATTTTTGATCTTTCTTCTTGGAAGCAGCTCTTTAGCTCTCGTATAGAGTTTTTTTTGTAAGCGACGATGGGAATAGGAAGTTGAGTTTTTTTTTTAATCTAGGGCTAGTCGTTTTTGTGGTGCTTGAGAGTAGTTTAAGGTTGTAACAGTAATAAAAGAGCTAACTTGATTTGAGTCTTTTAAGCTTGTGAAGTTTCTCATGGTGGAGATTTGTGTCGTTTATCTACTACTTGTCGTTGTTGTGGTACTTTAAGGTCATAACAACAATAAAAGAGCTAACTTGATTTTGATTCATCAGTTTGTGTTTTCCTGAACCGTTTTTTCTGGTGTTTAAACTTCTGAAGTTTCTCGTTGGTGGGTTCTAGCAAGGGGCTACTAATGGAGATTTCATTTTTTTTTCTAGGACTAGTCATGGTTTAGGGTACTTTGACAGTAATTTAAGGTCGTAAGAGAAAAAAAAAACTCTAATTTGATTCGTCAAAGTGTGTTTTCTTGAACCTTCTTTTGGTATTGAACCTTGTATGTGTTAGTTTGCGCATAATGATGCCTCGTAAGTCTATTACATTTGTTCGTGAGAATAAACTGATACATACATTAAGTACTGATAATCAGTGGCGTAAAAGCAAACTGATACATACATACATTTATTTACTTTGTGAGAATAGTTTAAGCTCTGTTATAAGTTTGCGCAAGTCTTTAAGTATGGTCTTTTGTGTGTTGGTTTGTACAGCTCTGTTATCTTAACTCGTTTTTGTTTTTTTTTTTTTTTTTTTTTTTTTTTTTTTCCAGTGATTTCT